CAAAAAACAAATTAAAAGTGAGTTATTTTACTTGGTTTTATTATATTATAATCTACTAACATATTTTCATCCCAAAAACCTTCGTGTCGATCTTTGAAAACCCTTCAGATCTTGATGAAAACGCTTATCTTGTTTGTCACTCATGCTCCCTAAATTTTTAGAAAAGAAGTCCAAATGCGAGTGAAATGTTTTTAAGACCTATTTAGACCCATATGGTAATAATTTTGCAATAATTCAGCAACAATTTGAATTTAAATAAATTTTAAATCGGAGGCATTTGTGCAAAAAGCAAGAAAATTATCGTCTGTAACAAAAAAAGTGTGACGTGATAGAAAAATTTAACAATTATTTTTGTTTAATTAAAGGTAAGTTAACATAAAAATAATAATTCGATTAAAGGTATATTAAACATAGTATTTTTGTAAATTATAGTGTTATTAGTTATTACAAGTTCAAAATCAAGAGAAAAATTAAATTTTCTTTCCACTGAGTGATAATAATGAACTTTCAAAATTACAGACTTACTGGTTTCAGGTGAAGCAAAAAATATTTTTCTTTTGCAATGTTAGCGTAAAATAAAAAAATCCGGGGCCATTCTGTATAATATTAGTTGTTATTATTATTATGGCATTAAATTTACCAATTTGGGTTTTTTGCTTTGTTTAGAAGCAATAAAAATAAATATAAAAAACGGAAGAAACTCGTTCTATTTGTTTATAAAATTAAAAGTAAATCACAAAAATTTTGTTAAGGTAATGAAATACATGGGTATGCATTTTTTTCTCTAAAATTTACTTAGTGTCATTTTGCAAATTATTATAATCACCATTTAATATTCTATACTCATTGAAGAAATTTTCAGAAAAAGACCGTTTTGAAGAAACAAAGCGCAGTGTGAGCAAAAAATTAGACTGGTGAATAGTTTTTTCCCCTGGTGTGTACTAGTACCAAGTACCATTTCACTGTTGCAGGAACCTGTCCTTCGGTTCTCAGCACCCCCAAACTCCACGCAACTTGCGTGTTCAAAGGCAAAGAATCGGACAATTGCACGGACCCGATTGAGGGTACCCAAGTCAAGTACCAATGTGCCCCCTACTATGAAGACCCCACGTTGTCACAAAACCGCGTCGGGAACTGTGAAGGGGGCCTCTGGGACCGTCAAACCCCCAGCTGTGTCCCCATTTGTGGGGTGAAATCGGTCCAAGCGCAACAGTTAATCATCGGGGGGAATGTGGTGAAAAAAGGGGAGTATCCTTGGGTGGTTGCGATTTACCATGGCCCCCAGAAAGACTTCATTTGTAGCGGAAATCTCATAAGTGAGAAAATAATCCTGACTGCTGCGACTTGTGTCACCGACTCCGAAGGCAAACTTCGCGATAAAAAGGACTTTGCAGTGGCGGTGGGGAAGTACTATCAGGATTTTACTGATTCTCGTGAAAAAATCAGCAACGTTCAATTTTCTGCTGTAAGTTTCATAATTGTAAAAATTTTTGGTGTTATTTTCACTTCAGATTGATGCAATTCACGTCCCTGAATTTTATCGAGGTGTTGTACAAAATTTTTACGGCGATGTTGCTGTTCTGGAGACGATGAAGAGTTTCACTTTCACGCAAACTGTTCAACCTGTTTGTGTGGATTTTTCGACGAATTATGACAATAGGAATGGTAGTACAGGATTTGTGACTGGTTGGGGTTTTACAAGTGAAAGTGGAGGCGTGTCGGAGGCACTCAAAGACCTTCAAGTGCCATTAGTTAGTACCGAGGAATGCAAGACGGAATTGCCCCCAGAGTTTCAGAAATTTCTGCTTTCTGACAAATTATGCGCAGGCTATAGAAATAATGGTAATTTGAATGCTTCTACACCTGTGAAAAAAGTTACACGGGCCACGAGCGGCAAAGCCGCAAGCCCCCACACAACGTTTGATATCAGTTACTTGTTTTTTATTTTGCATTTCCAACTGACAAATTTCCCGAATTATCAAAAAAAAAGAGATTTTAGTCCAAACACGTACTAAAACACTCAAAAGGAGTCATTTTTTGACAAAATTTCGTGAAATAATTGCGTTTCTGGCTGGAAATGGTGCATTAACTCATCGCAGAATTAAAATTTGGTGATTTTTCGGTGGGGTCTTGCAAAATTTCTAGAGTTTTTAGTAAGTTTTAGTTTAAGCATTTCAAAAAGACAATAATAACACTACAATTTGGTAATTTTTCGGTAAATAATTGAATTTTTGAAAAACATGCAAATGAAAAAAAACACTTTTGTTCAAAAGCGTATTAAAACGCGCGAAATGAGCATAAAAAAACAACATTTTCGACTAAATCTAGTGATTTTTTGAGTATTTTTGACAAAATTTCGTAATATAAGTGCGTTTTTGCCTGAAAAACGTGGAATCAAAATTTTTTGATGAAAAACATACTAAAACGTTAGAAAAAGACAAAAACAACACCATATTTAGTGATTTTTGGCGTATTTTTGTCAAAATTTCGTGAAATAATTGCGTTTTTGAGAAATGAAAGGCAAAAATCACAATTTTCGACCAAATTACCTACGTGATTTTTTAGGTTATAATATTTCGTCATAATAACATCATAATTTAGTAATTTTTCGGTAAATAATTCGAGTTTTTGACTGAAAAACGTGCAACTGAAAAAAAAATTGCTCAAAAACGTATGTACTAAAACGCCCGAAAATGGTGAAAAAAACATTTTCGACCAAATTTAGTAATTTTTTAAGTATTTATAACAAAACTTTATGAAATAATTAAGTTTTTGAGTGAAAAAACGCGCTATTGCAAAAATGTTTGATAAAAAATATAGTAAAACGCTAGAAGAAGGCAAAAACAATACCATTTTCGACCATATTTAGTAATTTTTGGCCTATTTTCCACAAAATTTCGTAAAATAAGTGAAAAACGTACAATAATTTTTTTTTTGATGTTTGGCTTATTTTTGACAAAATGTGGCCAAATAATTGTGTT